CCCGACTGGCAACAGCTTGTTTTCTCACAGAAGACGAAGACTTTTGATGTGTCACTCCTGGTGCAGGTTGTGGAAGATGGGCACGGTGGCAGTGCCAGTGCTAAACGTTGGATTTCCTGTCGGCGCATACAACGACGTCCTGTTCGTCGGAAGACCTGTACGTTTGCTGACTTGGCGGATATTGCGGACGACGACTGGAGACTACCGATCAGGCATTCAGTTTACTTGCTCTACCCACAGGCGCTGGATATGAAACAGGTGGTGGCTGACATAACCAGCTGCCGTCCCATAATGGAGGTAAGTATGGGCGTTACAAATTAACCGTTATCTGGCTCTGAGGGCATGCCTTTCTTAAATTGTACCATTTGCCGATGGAGGTGGGCTAATGCGCCGTCATCGCGGCTGCGGACGCACGATCGTTCGGCTGCCAACTTCCTGCAACCTATTTTTCACATCTTGTGTACAGAATACATTCTTCCTTCCAACCAAGCCTCACACGTGTACTCCCACACGAAGCCGGACAGGATGATCGCAACGGCAAGGATCTTCCATACTGAACTTTACAATTGCGGTTGACCTGTGTTTATAGTGCTGAATCCTACAACGTATCCACGCAATTTCGAGCAAGGGCCGGAGCAAAGGTCAATGTGTGGCCGCAAATTTTACCTGGCAGGTGAAAGAGGATCGTCACACCTACTATACTCCCTATACATCATTAGTGCACGTGGAGTGGACCTACAGTAGATTACATACCTGATGAAAGGTTAGGGATTGGGGGATTTAACACACATTTGAGGCTGTTTATTTAGTTCTTTGGGTTGAATTGAGGCGCAGAATGCTGTTTACCAGAATAGACTTCCGTTCAGATCAGTATACTGGGAGAACATATAGCAGGAAATGGGCAAAATCCGGTGTTTGCGGATATCCAAGGAGTTTCCTGCGCCATTAAACGCTGCAGAAAAAGGCTTCTTATTCGTGCATGTTGCAATATAAAAGAACATTTATGAGGAGCAGACACTTTTTAATAATATCTGTTAACAAGACGGAAAATTTTGTTTTGCGTCCATGAAATTAAGGTTGGTGTATGTACGAGATACATCACTACAGTCGAGAAAAGAAAAATGAATCTACTTAACAAATTTTTGCCTTATCTGTCACGTTTTGCGCCCTTAAGATAAGTAATTAACTTACAAGAGACTAAAATGTGTTTTAGTACGCCGAAATCACTAGGCCTATTTGATTGTACATGAAAATTTCGGAATAACATTCGTTTTCTCATTAACATTGTTAATTAACTCCATCCAAATGTCGTCAAAAATCAATAAATATAAAAACTTGGAACGGAACAGGCAAAATATTATCATGCTAAAAAATATCGAAGGATATTTTAGGTCATTTGAAATCAAGCAACTGTGTCCTGAAGTAGAAGAGCCGATTGAACTCTGTTCCAGTTTACATAGAAATGTAAGTTCTTTTACTTTCAGCAAAGTAGTTATCTGGTTTTTTTAGGGAAGTCAAAAAAAGTCAGAATATCCCATTTTAATCTCGACTTAATCTTTAGAAAAAGGTACAGTACACAGACATTCGACTTCGAAATATCTATTTAGAGCACTTTTTTAAGAGGCAACTTCTTATAAAAAGTTTTAAATCAGTCTTAGACGTAGTAATTCTCGGCTTTTGTTGTGGAAATTCATTTTTCTTGGCGATGAGTTGACGTGTTTGGGTGATTCTGAAGTTATGACCCACACAGGCAGCTACATAAGGAGGAATGTTTAAAAACTAATTATTTAGGTAAATGCTTTCAAGATATTTCTTATTTCCAAGTTTTCTGTAACTAGGTCAAAAAAGTTATGAATAAATGTGACAAACGGAAATTTCTTTCAACATACACAGGATGGTAAGAATTTGATTACAAGTAAAACCGTAATCTAACCTCTTAGTAAACAGCCAGCCTATCCGTGTATGGCCTCCAATTTATTTTTATTACTGCCAAGAGCCCGGATCTGATTATCATACAAAATCTTTTTGTAATTGTCAAAAGAAGTTAATTCAAAGCACATAAGGATCTTTTCGTGCATTAACAATTGAAATTGTTACCAAGTATCTACTATTGGTAACAAGTTCCCATAGACTTAATGCAATTTTAAGTGTTAGTGGAAAAAATATAACTAACTTTTGTACTTGTACTCATTCTGTATTAATTTGCCATTCTTTTCCACTCCAATGCCCTAAACATATTCATAGTTAACATTTGATAAGTGACTTGTCATGTAGCCATTACCCTCGTTTCGAGTTTTTTTGAGAAAATTAAATTCTTTTATGCTAGTAAATAGTAATTTCTTCTCCAACCCATGTTTTCATTTTACTTATGGCTCTTACTTTACTGTTGTTATACTTTTGGGGTCACGCCGCGTGTGCTGACGTCACGCAAAATTACATTTTTAAGTGAATCCATCGCATTTAATGAGATAGGGAAGCTACTGTACTACCGGGGTCCTATGCTGCACCGTGCGCCCCTTGCGCTAAAAAACAATCTGGTTTTCGACCAATCACAGCTATCATAAACGGACCAATCCGCTTCAAGGCCTAATCAGATGAGTCCTCGCCCGCAGCGCTGCGACTACTTTTTCAGGCTTACGCGGGACGCAACATTTAGGCAACCTCCTTCGGCAACCAACTCCTTCCAACCAGTTTCTCAATATTTTTTACAAAATAAAATACGCCCTCAACTAGCGTCCAAAATCTTATCTTTATATTTGTAACCGAGCCTGAAGCTCTTAGTGGCTAGTGTCTCCCTACAACGTAAGCTGTTGTGCCGCTCCAATCACTGTCAAACCAATGAAATTTCAGTAATCTTTGCCCTGTGATGCGCCAATAGGTAGGATCTCTTAAGAAAGAAACTATTTCGTATGACAGCTGTCTCTGCCCATGTTGTCTCACTGAATTATATGATTAAAAGTCCCCAAAACCTGTGTTTATGTTGTTAACTAAAATTAGCCTTACTCGAGCTGAATTACCCCATTTTCCTTTTACAGGCTCCCACATTCAACCAAACCATCCGATTCTTTAACGTCAGTTCGAATGTCTGCGTCCCGAATAAGGCAGTCAAGAGGTCCCTAGATGCTATTGTGGTGATCAAGTCCGCCGTCTACAATTTTGCCGATCGTGAACGTATACGGAGAGCATATGCTAAGGAAGCCGAACGTGAACCCTTCTTCCGCATGGCCATGGTCTTCTCCGTAGGACTGCCTCGAAGTAGCGGGGGTCGCTTCTTCCAGCGCGACGGTATCAACATCTCACTACCAGGCCGGGCGGGTGCGTCGTTGGAGAAGATGCAGTACCGGAGGCCGGAAGTCCTAAGAAAACTGTCAGAGGAATCCGAACTCAACGATGACCTCATTGTGGGCGATTTCGAGGACACATACTATAACCTCAGCCTGAAATTATTTCACACCTTTCAGTGGGCCTCTCGCTTCTGTCGCGGACATTTTATGCACAACCAACGACCGCCCGTCTTCGTCATAATGGACGATGACTACGCCTTCAATGCCAGTCGCCTGAAGACTGAACTGGGTGCCCTCTCGGACGCGCAGATTCGACGAGTGCTTCTGGGCTCTCCAATGCGTAGAAGTAACGTACTTCGTCCCCTTGTCTCTTCGGGATTTGAAAAGTGGACCGTCTCCAAACGCCAGGTGCCCTGGCCCTACTTTGCACCTTATAGTTCTGGCGCCTTTATCGTTCTCGGTGCTGATGTCCTCCAGGAAATCGCCCTAGCCATGTATTTCACCGTACAGTTTTCAGTGGACGACGCCTGGTTAGGCATGGTTATGACGAAGTTAGACTTCTACGTTCAGCGCCATCCACACATGCATATCGCTTGGCCGAAAGTAAATGAAAAGGAGTTGGCTCTGTTTGCACCCTTCGACTACCTCTTCGGGGGACAATGATTGCTAATTGAGTCTACCAGTGTAGTATATTTATACCGTATTTATCTACTTCGAATCTTTTCAACCAACCCTATTGTTGAGCTAATATATTTTACGATACATATGGTATCGTATTCATTTCCGAAATCGTTTGTGTAGGTAAATGCAGATTGCGTGTCATTATAAGTATATGAATGCTGTATGGAGACCAGCTAGTAGAGCCCTGGGTAGTTTAACATATTTTTTGAATTTATTGGGCTAATTACGCAGAGTATGGACGTATGACATGAAGAACTCGTACTAGGTGAGATCGTACCACCCACCAACACGAAGAAATAAAAAGAATACTAGTTTTAACGTTAGTTAACTTTGCGCAGTTTTTCCGGTATTGTCTAGTTCCAGGTATTTTGTAGACTTTTCTGCGCTCACACAAAGCTATCTCTTAAATACATACCAATTACGGTACGTTACTTAATTCACGATCGAAATTAGACTTGGTAGTTAAGTGTAGCCTTGCTCTTTCTGTGTTGATCTTTGGAGTACAGTTGATGCTAAGAAGGCCTTTTAGTAAAGAAAACTGCATGGTAGTTCATTTTATTTAAGGAAACCAGGCATGAGTTTGACAAAATTGGAGCTTGTTGGGTATTCAAGAAATGCTATCTAATATGGGAGTCCCAAAACGCTTTTGCTTCGGACTATAACAACTTCAGGAAAATTAGCAGGTGACTTATACTGCATTGAGACTTCACCTGAGGAGAGCAGGCAGCCTCAAAGGGGGGGGGAGGGGCGTGGATCACCAACACTTTTGATGAGAGCGGGCCAAATATTATGCCACCAGCCAACTTGGATGATAAAATCACGACCATAAACGATTGGGACGCGGATTACCAAGCTATTATCTTATTAATCACGACCCCTGCGAAAATCTCAAGAGTCGCTAATTGTAATACACATGTTTTCACCTAGCAACTGCGGACTATGTAGTCCACACACCCTATTCATCAACCACTCTGCTCTGGATATGTCACGGAAGATGAGTTCGAGCTGGAATGCGAAACGTCAGCACAAAAAACGAAGTGTTTCAGCGATTACACCTTCATCTTCTAAATAGAAGATTCTCTCAAAATTCCATACCTTACTACTCAGGGTAGCCGTACGTTCTAAAACTACTACTGACGCGGAAATAATCCAGTTAGACAGTCTACAGTAGCCATTGCTCTCCCATTAGGCCTCAACAGCCAGCCATACTCAGTTATACAAGTCACCCCACTTGGAGTTGGAGTTGCGCACAGACCAATAGCAACCATCAGGCGCCTGTTCATGAAACCGAAAGACCCACTTCCACGCAGGAAACGACTGGAGTCGTTTACCGGATCTGGTGCAGTTGTGGACAAAGCAACTATGTCGGAAAAACCGGAAGATTACTCCGGACGCGAATGGCCGAGCATGCAGCGCGGTGAGAAAGAAAGACGCCAACTCCCAGGTTGCAGCTCACTCGACGGGACCGGCCATTATTTTCAAGCTTGACGAGGCCGAAATTCTCGCAAAAGGCGACAACCGCGTGAGCCGCGAGCT